AGGGTTGAGGGTTGAGGGGTTTCAGGGCTTTGGGATCCTACTTTAGGGTCTTAGGGGTCTTAGGGTCTTTAGGGTCTTAGGGGTCTTAGGGTCTTAGGGTCTAAGGGTCTAAGGGTCTTAGGGTCTTAGGGTCTTAAGGGTCTTAAGGGTCTTAGGGTTTAGGATGCAAGTCTTTGGGTTTAGGGCTTAGGGTTTAGGGTTTCGGGTTTAGGGTTCAGGGTTCGAGGTTTAGGGTTCAGGGCTTTGCGCTTGGGGTTTGGGGTTTAGGGTTTCAGATTTAGGGGTTTCGGGGTTGGTGAACTACACTCGTAAAGGCTTTCCTCAAGTTTGTATACTGGCTCCACATGCATGGCCACTCAAACATTCCGTCAAGGCTCTATAAGTACTACACCACGGAGAGACTACGTAAACATTTCTGGACAACCGCAATATGTGAGTAGCCATAGCAGGATTGAATCAGGGGGAATAGCGGTGAATACCGAGTGAGCAGGCCAGCCCTCCTGAACATGGACTAAAACCCTGAGGCTCGAAACCACTCCTGAAGTGGAGTTTAGTCTAAAAGGTTTGGGCTTTGTCAGAAAGCTTGGCAGGAAGCAGAAGACTTATTCAAGAAGCCAATCCACCCAGCTGCCCTGATCCGGAATTGAGCTTGGAGCTTTGAGGGGGTCGCAAAAACGGCTACTGTAAGGGCGACCAGAAGGAATCAACAAAGAATGAACCCGAAGTGGGAGGAAGGTGCACTGGTGGTAGCAGTACGAACTGTCTTCGGGCTCCATGGGCATGAGAATGAAAGTGCACACCTTCAGTGCCAGGCCATATCTTAATTTCTTGATGTGCCTGGCCCGATTTTATCCTATCTTAAGACCGGATTTAGGGTTTAGGGATGTCGGGTTGGCTCAATACGACTGACTATTTGCATCTGATCCCTGCACTTCCCTGGAACCTGCCGTTCAAGAAACAAAGAAGGAGGCTGTGAGAAATCCTGAGCATCACATACATCTAAGGCCTCAGGCGAAGATCCCAAATTCAGCCGTCAACACCCTCATACGAACCCTCGGTGGATTTCTCTAACTTTAGGGACCTAGGCTATACATAGACAACGCCTATAGTCTTCATTGCAGTTCCCTTTTGGGGGGGGTACCGTTTTGGAACAAACGTAAGATTGGTTAAAGAAAAAGAGTCTCCGCTTCGACTGAAGAACTTTTTCGCCCAGACGCCTCCCTTGAACCCTAAACCTTAAACCCTCACCCCTCACTAAACCCAGAAAGACTACAACCCTGAAGCCTAACCCCCCAAACAGGGTTCAGGTACTGAGGCGACTGAGATGCCTGACCCGACGAACTTCAGGGAGCTCTTGTTGTAGCGGATCTTGAAGAAGTTCACCCCACCTTCCTGGGTCCTTACCGCGAAAGGCTCGGTGATGAGGGGGTGTAGGGTTCAGGGTTTAGAGGGCTTAAAGGGCCCGACGAAGTTGCAAGGATCTCAGATAAGTAGATAGTTTGGACAGCAAGCTTCAGGCCTTGCTATTCTCGGAAAAGCTGGTTTCTGGATGTGGCTGATTCTAAATCCAACACCCAAAATTCCCTAGACCCGAACACGCGAAGCCCATGACCAAAACCTTAGGATGGGCCGCTCACTGCTTGACTAGCACCTGATGCAAGCCTTGCCACGCACTTCTACTTCTATATCAACTCAGGACCTCAGGGTTTAGGGGTTTAGGG